AGTTGTAAGACAATGGCCTTGCTTGCTTAGGATTGTGTGTGGGTGTCGAACATGGCACTTTAAACATAAATTTATGAGGTGCAAACTTTTAATGCAAAGATGACTCATAAAGTTTCAGAATGTGTAAATATGAAGCACAATCTAACTTACACCATCATTGGTGCTCACCCACAGTAAAACTAGGCTGTTTACCAAATTGTTTGGATTACCAGGACATTCACAAAATTTACTACCCTTCATAAGTTGATGAGGAAAACTCTTGGGCTGATGTCAACATTTGTATGGCACTAGCATCTTATCTTGAACAAGTGTTATATTTATTTCATCTGCATTTTGGAACATGTTTGATGGCAGCATTCAATTAACTCTGAGTTTGTGAAGACGTCATTTTTTTTGGAGAAGTTACACTGGAAAACTTAGCAGTTGTCTAATAAAGTAAAAAAACTAAATAGAAGCAATTTCTCACTGAAGTGTCTGGAATCAGGCAATAAGAATAAAATGGGAAAAAAAGAATAAAATGGAAAAAGGATTGTTAACTAAACATTTCATGTTATGTTGAAAAAAAACCCCTAAGATTAGTATTTTATGTGATTCATTTCTGATGTTCCTTGTTTGAGGGTTTTATCCAATTGCTATAAACATTTCCTTTAATTGAGGATGAACTTATAAAGACTAAACCTTTAACATTATTGGAGCAATATGTTGGAAGTAGATATTTCGTTGTCAGAAGAATAACCTTGGAAACTGTGACCAAATAGGTACAACCAGGAGACCCAAAATTCAATAGGATGCTGTTTTAATACTTAAAAATTTTGTGGCCTTTAAAAGACAGGGAGAATATGAAATAAAGAAATAAAAAAGCTTAGTTAACCAATTCTGTAAATAGAACCCAATCATTGTTCACAGTTCCCTTAAAAGTGATTAAAATTTGCTAAACTGATAAAGATTTGCAAGTTGGACTTAAAAAATAAATTTGATTAGCTTATCGTGCATACAAAAAATAAAAAGACCTTCAAGGTATTTTTTTTTAAATATTCATAGGTCAGTAGAAACGAAGTCAGAGGTTTTAAAGCTTTAACCACTGCACATTCAAAAAGTAAAAAAAAAAAAATCCTAGCCTTAGCATTTAGTTTTTGATCGCTTCTATGTAAAATAAGAATGATCTTACAGAGTCAGTAAGGAAATAGTTAACAGTAAGTTTTTTTTTTTTTTTAAAGATTAAACATACTTACAATAAAAACAAATTTCTGGACACTGGATCATTCTTTTATTAATTTTGGAGGCCCATTTGAGAATCTCATTTATGAGGACACCCACAGATAATAATGAATAAATAAGCTTGGCTTCCCTGAAACAACACCCATGCACACAACTGGACCATAAGGTGGTTTTTAGTTGAATAGCAGCTACCATATTTGGTTATATGCTCTAAGCCGTTACAAACATAAAACATTTACTCAATTCTAACTTAGATGTTTACTACCAAATTCATTTCCTATAAGAGACAGATCTCCTAGTTTCATTAGGTTAATACCTTGATTTTCTTTTGAAGACTCAGTGCAGTATTAAGTTACAAGCAAAAGAGGTATCGTGTCAGTAATACTTTAACATTTGAGTAACCAAGTGAGCAGACTATAGGTTGAGAAAATTCCTTGCATGCTTATTTAGGTTTTAAGTCTTAAATACCATCAACTATAATTGTAAACACATATTAGGTGCCAGTAGCCCCATAATCACCAAATCCTAAGCTTTTACCCAAATGGTCTTACTAATTAAGAACAATGAAAAAGCACATTTCTCCCCCTGCCTTTTGACAGGTTCAGTGGGACATCAAAAAGAATTCTTATCCTGGCAAGCAGATCTAACTGGCTAAAGCTAATAATTTTTTTTTTTTAAGTGGCCTCAAAGTGAAAGAAATGCACTACCACTATGTCTTTCTAGCACATCTCACTTTTCTGTTAACTATTCTAGTTCTGGCTGATCTCTTCTGCATCTCAGGCTAATGTTTGCTTTCACCTGTAAAGTGCCTACTACCACAGTGCCTACTGAACACAGAATACACTTAAAATGTCAGCTCCTTATTCATTCCAAGTCTGTAATATTGAAATTTGTATTTTATCTGAGTGGTATTAGTTCCCCTTCAACTAGGTACTGGATTCACAAAGGGCAAGGATCACGCCTTACGTTTCCTCTGTGGCCTCCATCCTCACCCTACCATCTAGTACAGTGTTGGGACCCCATGAAGTGCTTCACTAATCTACCAAATGCATCAATTAAAACCTCACTGCAGGGGCGCCTGGGTGGCTCAGTCAGTTAAGCATCCGACTCTTGATTTCAGCTCAGGTCATGATCTCAGGGTCGTGAGATTGAGCCCCAAGTCAGGCTCCGCCCTAGCCACGAGGCCTAATTAAATTCTCTCTCCCTTTCGCCCCCCCCCCCCCGGCCAGGCTCTCGATCTCACTCTCTCAAAAAACAAAACAAAAAAAACCTTCATTGCAAAGCTTTTGCTCATTCTCTACCATAAGTTAGCTCAATATCATATAATTAGCTGTGATACTGAGGCCACATCACATTCACACTTTACAAATATTAATATATTATAAATGTTAAATCCTAATGTTCCTTTTATTAATTTAGTTGGTTAGATATGGTGGATAGCTTTTACAATGTCTTTGTAAACCTCTCTTAAGTGAGAATATAAACCAAACCCCATCCCCCGACAGACCAGAGTCACCTGAGTACCTGTTTGCCAAATAACTTTCTAGAAATGAAGGTAGCTGATAGTAATATTTTGTCTTAAGACTTAAGTCCTGGGCCCGGCCCCTTACACCCAAACCCAGCCCAAATAATCGGAGAGGGGAGGCTAATATCACCTACTCAAAGTGCTTTGCAGAAAGTTATATACACATAAATGTGTGAGGCACAGAAAATCTTTATTGCCACAGGAAGCAAGTGCACTCGTCCCACCTCACCAACAGATTAAGAGTCACAGAAACGCAGACTTCACATAATAAAGTACAACACAGACTTGGGGAGAAATGGTCCCTTGGACTATATTGGCTGTAATACTGAGGTAACCAATTGACCTTGTTCAGTGAAAATACCTCTAACACAATGAAAAAATCAACTAGTTATAACATCCAATTCATATATACAATTCAAATAAAAATATATATTATTTGCTTCAATGTATAGCAAATTTAATACATTAGTGTTTACAAAATAAAAACTGTATTCTACTGAAATTTTTCTTGTGCTTCCCCCTTATCATTAAGCTTGAAAGACCAGGAAAGTATGATACTTAAGGAAACTTATTTATGGATTTAAAGATGCAGTTTGTGGGGCCATGATAGACAGATAAATATTAACTGGAAGATTACCGCATCTTTAAAAATTGTTGCTTATTAAAATCTACAAACTTGAACTGTAAGACACAATTAAAAAAAAAACCCACAAAATTTCTCAAAATAGATTAGAATACAGGAAACGTTTCATGAAACTACTGAGATACTAACCAGTTCTATGGCTAATATTAAAAACTGAACAATCTATTTAAATCGTACTCATACTATTTCTACACACAGTGAACAATACAACCACAATAATCAACCTTAAGCTAGCAACAAAGTTGGAAGGTCCATAAAAAGCTTCTTCAGTGGGCAAAACGCTATGGTACAATTAAAACATTTAGGTAGGGAAAAGAGCCTTTCAATAGTATAAAAGTTGTTTACTGGTGTTTCTACTATAAAGCTATTCTACAAATAAAAATAAAAAAGCAATTATATATGTGACAGTGATCAGAGACTACAGTCCAGACATTTCATCTAACATTTGGCTGATGAATTTTAGTATAACAGATTATGACTTAATATTTTTTACAGTTATGACCTAGAGCAGAACTAAAAACAAAAAAACACCACATATTCCAACTCAGGACGCTGTTCTCAGCAATATCTGGGTTTAGATGAATCTGGAGGAAGTAGGTAAAGTTGTCAAATGTCTTCTCTTAACCAAAAAGAAAAAATGTAAATTGGTAGAAACGGTATTTTTTTTAACTATGGATTCCAATGTGAAGTTCTCATAAGTATGCAAGGGCATTATTAACATTTAAGCACACCCCCATAAGTATGCACAGAGCCCATTTATTAAATAGGGGGAAGGAATTAAAATATACTTTCAAGCTAAAATGAATTTTAAGAAAAAACTGCATACACAAATATGAAAGGTATACAAAATGGAAAATAAATAATGAATCCAGGTGTCAACTAGACCTCCACAGAATTATGCCTGCAAATGTGGAAGTAGTGATTGTCCACACTTGGGATGGTCTGGGTGGGAAGACATTCCCCAAGAGACAGCCGCCTACTTTCTCTGACTCCATCCAGGACATCACGAATTTCTAGATATAAAATGGCTCTTACTCTACTATATAATTATAGCCTTTTTAACAGTCACCATCCTTATCACATTTGGGGTTAACTTACTATGTCTTAATCTATTTAACACATTCTTAAACAGCAATGTTTAAGTCACGGCTTTTACACATCAGTTCACTTGTTTCAAGTTCTCTGTCCAAGGAATAGCTTCCTATTTTTATTACGAGATAATGATATAATCCTAATCAACTAAGAGAGATTTTCTACTCTAGTGCTCATCTTTTTAACTTTACTTTAGTATTTATTAATTGCATAAATGTGCCTGACTGAGCCAGCAAAAGTTGACATTCTACTACTAAAAATGACACATTTCCTGTTAAACAAAATCAGTTTTATCCAATATTAAATCCACAATATTTTCCTTGGTTTAAATTGAGCATTTGCTTTCCATTTTTTTCAAAGTCACTGCAACCTTGCCAATAACTACATCACTTAAACTTTCTTTACAACTGCAAAGATTCTAAACTCTAACATATAATAACATTTATGCTAAACACACTTAAAAGTAGACAGTGAAGTTTCAAGTAAAATAAACTGTATCCACATTTACTGGACCAAACATGTCTCCACATCTAGATTTTACTTCTATAAATTACACAAATACATCGTACATTCTTAAATAATGAATGCTTACAATATTAATTTGTAAGCTTTTCCACATAAAACAACTTACACAGGAATGTGAATGGATCAGTATTTCTGTTACAGACCGCAACATTCTCTCAATTTTCTCCTTTGTGGCTGTTGTTTTGTCTTCCTGGTTTCCGCAGACTACGAATCAGTCCTTATGCTTTGGCTATGAAATCTGTTTGAGCTGAATGAGGCAACGTTGGTTATTAAGGCTTATTTCTATGATGGAGCATTATCCTTAAATTGAGTGCCATTTCCAGAGAACAGTGGGAGAATCACAGCTATCTTGAATCTTCAGGCTCTGTTTTGATGACTTTCTTTTCTAAAGTAAAAGCTGAGTGAGGGTAGTCTTTTAAAATCCCAAGATTCTCTGCATAAAAATGGAAACACAAAGTATGTTGATACTTTAAATCAATGGATCACAAAAAACAAATTCCAACTTATGAAACAAACCCCCAAACTCCACAGCAAACAGTATCAACTATTCATAATTCTGTAATTCCATACAAAAATTTTATGTTTAAAGAGTTGCGGTTACGAGCTTGGCTTCTGGGTTTAAATTCCATCTCTGCCAATTACTAGCTGTGTACATCTCCAGGCAACTTACATACCTCTGTAGGCCTTAGTGTCTTTCTTCTATAAAATGGGGATAGTATCTATATAGGCTGGCATGAGAGTTAAATCATGAAAGGCACAAAAAAGCACTTAGCATACAGACGTGTTTTTCTTTAATGCTTGGTTCAACATGATAAAAAAAATATGTAAAATAAAACTGGTCATGCATCGACAACAAAGTTACTAGCTAAAATACTTAATTACTATCAGTAAAAAAATGAGACAGAAAACATCTTCAATGTTCAAACATGGAACTCTTGTTAAAAGTTCTAGCCACGAAACGTTAGGGTGGGAGAAACGGGGATCAAAGAATGAAGACTACTTTCCTAAGGATTCATTTCTTGGAGTTATGTGAGTATAGTTATTTCAACCTCGCAAAAACACTACAGAATGACAATAAAATGTAATATTTATGTAAAGTACTAATACTGGAAGATACATATCCACACACACGTGTACATACACATGTACACTTTGAAAAGGATTCTAGAAGTGTAACCAAAACTAATAGCTTATCTGAAATTAGGCAGTTAAATTTATGAATTTACTCTCTGCAAAATTTAGCAAGAGTATAAAAATAGTAGCTACCATTTACTGAATTCCTATCAGCTAGGCAATTCATATGTGCTAGCTTGTTTAATACTCATAACTACTCTACGCGGTAGAAATTATGTCTGTTTTACAGATGAAGCAACAGCGTTCAAGTGACTCCGAAAGCTACTTTAACTCAAAGATGGAATGATACCAGCTACTTTTTTTTAAGACTTTATTTATTTGACAGAGAGAGACACAGCGAGAGAGGGAACACAAGCAGGGGCAGAGGGAGAGGGAGAAACAGGCTTCCCGTGGAGCAGGGAGCCCGATGCGGGGCTTGATCCCAGGACCCGGGGACCACGACCCAACCCGAAGGCAAACACCCAATGACTGAGCCGCCCGGGCGCCCCGATACCAGATACTTTCAAACGGTGCTGGTCTCTAATACTTTGTATAACTCACTTTTTCTTGGGGAAAAATAGTCAAATATCAAACTATAAAAAGGAACAGCTTATCCTTTTATGGAGTTCAGTTTACTTCTGAAATATAAATATCATCCCCAAAATGCATCTGTAAGAGTTTAGATTTTGGTATACAAGGTTGTCTTAGTGTGAGAGCAAACATGTAACCTGTCAATTTCACAGTGTGAAAGGCTGGAAAAAGGCAATTACGTGACTCAAATCAGCCATGTATTATTTGGTTTAAAATTTTATATGAAAGGCACCATTTGTGTAATAGCTAATCAAAACAGTATCATCCATCATGAGTTTTTCCCTGTCAATTCTTTGGAATACCATGTTCTAAAAAAAGACTGGCCATTATTATGGCAATCTATTATTTCCAAAGGGAGAAAAACTGACTAGTAACATTGTTAGTAATGACCCTTTTTTTTGGCTGGGAGTAAGGGGAAGGAGGAGTGAAGATAGTGGAAGGTCGGAAAATAGAATTTAAAGATGTCTTATTCAAGTGTCCCTCTCTCTAATCACATCCCATATTCTTACCCGACTGGGACTTCGCCTCAGTGGAGTAAAGTCTACTCAGCTCTCCATCCACCACAAAATGATGGGGTTGTCTGTTCTGTAAATTAGGCATTCGGAGATTCAAAGGTCTTTCTCCTAAAAAAAAAAAGGAAAAAAATGCGCAATCTGAATAATATTAAAAACACACTATGATTTTTCTTAAAAATAAGTTTTCACAAATTGCCTGTAACACTCCTTAGGAAAGGAGTAAGGAAAAGCCAACAGGCAGTGAAGAATTTAAATAATAGCTAGAGAAATATTTTAAATAATAATTTAGGAAGGAAATGGCAATTCATGCTAGTTCCAAGGTTTACAATTCTCCCAGGACATTTTTCAGAGTGAAACACTAACTAAACAAAAGACTGAGACTTCCAGTAAGTACTCCAACTCTGGCATAGAATACATCCCCTCTGTAAGGCATTTTCTTATCAGTGCACAGTTTACCAAGACATTAACACAAAATAACAAGTACTAGAGAGACAGAGATGGCTTCAAGCAATTGCCTATCATTAAACAACCAAACCTATGGCAAATCCATGAAGACAGAAATAGCACAGATATGGTAAGAACACTTTATATGCCAAATCACCTTCTCTGTCATAAACCTAAATCCACACACTTTAGCACACTGCCACCCCACATGACATTATCCTGGTTTCACAAATTAGAGTCATCCAGTCTTTCATTAATTTTGCTTTTGCTTAACTCTTAACTGTCAACGATGACTAGAGAAGTTAAACAAGACCTCAACTAAACAGTTTCTATAATATTTTTAAAAAGGAAGAATGCGCTTCTCCTCCAGCACTCTGATTTGCTGACGTATTTTACCCTACACTTGGAGAATGCTTGTAAAGATAGTAGTCTCACTTAGAAAGAAATCTGGGGTTTTTTTGACAATGGTAGCCACTCTCTAGAAAAATATAACAATAATATGTAAAACAAGAAGGTCCTACAAAATTGTTTTTCTTCAAACACACATCACTACTTGAAACTCGAGGATATATTTCTATATTATATACTATGCACCTTCCTGTACTAGAGTGTAAGCTCCAAGCCAGCAGGGACTTAATGTCCCTGATCCATCTGTGGTGCCTAGAAGCATGCCTGGCACACTGGAAGAGACTATGAGTAAATGACAATGACTTGAGATTTTCTTCACGTGTCAATACAAAAAAATGAAAATAATTTTTTAAATGATAAAAATATTCATGAATCACAGCTTTCTAAACTTAAGAGTTTAAACAGTTTCCAATGTACCACACCAAATATAGTTTCATAGGGACCGTAGGCCAACCTAAAGCCTGAAAGAACACAAAATTTCTTCAAGTCTCTCCATTCTTATACCATCTCTACAAACCTCTGTACTCTTGTCACAGTACTTTAGAAGCGGTTACTGTATTCTCGTAGGGACCAAATGTTATAAACTTCATAGACAAATTTGTTTTTGAAATCAAAGAAAATATGAAGCTGTGATCTTTTAAAAACGGATAACCATCTCCCATGGCATCAGTTTCTCTGGGGAAAAGGATCTATACTGTTTACATGTCCCATTCCCACTCACCCTGTACAAAATACGGGTCAACTGCACGTGTCAACTAGTTTAGGGAGAATAAGGTAAAAAACAAACAAACGTACAAACAAAAAAACCCCCAAACTTCTGCTAGTTGAATCTGCAGGATGAATCCTTTCCTTTTTTCGAAAAAGAGACAATTTAAAAACGAACTTTTATAGGGAATGTGTAACATAATCTCTATAAAATATCAGGATTTAAAAAATAAGCCAACTTTTGTTTCTCTGTACAGTGCACAGAGTCACTGGCTCGCAAAGCGCAGGCCATCTAAGATCCACCTTGCCCCTCGGAGTTGTCAGAAGCCACGCCGTTCGGGCTGTGCTCTTCTGAGGCCTGCCTGTAGAGTCCTGCCGAGAGCCTTCTCTCAGCATGCTGCAGTCTCTCATAGCCAGCTGGGGTGCAAAGGAACTCCATCTGCTTTGCCATCACCTTTTCAGGCTGCTAGTAAGTAAAGCAAAAATAAAATCAGGAACTAAAACATTCTACAGTTTTTTTAATGGTTTAAAGATGCCAATTTCAGACTCCAGCAAATATATTTAGTATTCATTAAATTAGTTCACACTTCATGTGGTATACACGTTCCATAAATATGCTTAGATGTCTATATCATCATGTTAAAACATAAAATGTTGGATTCTGTGCAAGAGAAAAAAAAAAAATCCTCCTGCCCATCCTTTAAAGAGAATTCCATTTCAGCTCAAAGGCAAAATAACCTTAGCTTTGTTTCCCGAAGTACTGAGTCCTTTAAAATATTTTTTTTTAAAAGAACCTCAGAGCAACAGCAACATCTGCCACAAACTGCTTCTAACACACAGGGTGAGATCTTGGCATTTTTATTTTAGGATTTGGCACTATACATACTCTGATATGATGACAGTATGTTGGGGGAGAAAAGGTGTAAAATGGCTGTCTGGAGGGACAAGTCAAACACCCCTCCCACCAAAATCAAACAATGCAAATTACGAAGGAAAAACACCAGTGCCAACAACACTCTTCCCCTTCATCATGGAATGAAACTGCAGTATTTCCCAACCAATCAGAGAAAGACACATTTAAAATACACAAGTAAATAAGAAATTCATCTTTGCATGTGTTTTGTAAGTTCCTTCTTTATGTACTGCTCTATATCACTTATCTGTGATATTCAAATCAGTACATTTGTGATATTTTGCCAAGGAGATTAATAGTCAAAATGCAGATATGAATCACTGCATGCCATATAAAATAGTACAAGGAAGGTGCTCTATAAAATTAGTTACAAAAAATCCTGACTCACAATAGTAAAAATCAATAAATGAAAAATATTAATTCATGGAACAGGATAAAAGCTTACACTATTTTTCTGAATGCACATAAACCAGATCAAAAGGAGCTGTAATTTCAATTCATTTGAACTTACTGACATAAAATGTCAGTAAGATTTCTAAGGAGGAAGTATATTTTTCATCCTCTTAAAAAGAAAAAAACAAAACTTGGCACTACTGAATTTGACCAAGAGCAGTCACCAGGCAGAAGATCCAGAGGAATAAGACTTATAGTGCTTTCTATAAGGTGGTATTTGTAGAAATGACTTTTTAAAAGGTTAATTTCAGGATACAACAATTAAATAATAGCAAAAGCCCCTGAAGATACATATTAAGAATTTTTTCTCATACATCAATCAAACTGACCTAACAATAGCTACAATGCCGATGATGAATGTTTTACTGAGAACCAGTATTATTTTATCTCAGAGTTGTATTACACACAGCCATAGTCAACATGGCTTTCTTCCTGGTATCAAATTGCTTCTTTTAGGTTTTCTTAAGTAGAGAATCTGTCTTTCTTCCTATAAAACTACAAAGAATAAATAAATATTACTATATCAGAGATTCTGCTCATAAACAAATCAAACTATGCTGTTATTGCTATCTTGTTGACACAGCTGTGGGTCAGATGACATTTCAAAAACAACCAGAAATAAACCCCGTCCTCAGATGCTTAAAACTGAAGCTAGCTGAAGCACCCATTTATTTTTCAATCTACAGATATTATTATGAAATGTGAACTGTTAACTGGTGGTTTACGTTACCTGTGAACTGAGAGCAGTGAGTTCTTCACTCTTTGCCTTAGCCTGCTGGAAGAGCGTTTGCACGGAGTCCTGGAAATCTGGAAATCCATCCTATGGGTCAAAGAATAAGTCCTTTTTACTTAGAGTTTGTAAATAAAATATCAACAACTTAGAAAACAGGACAAAAAAACCCACTTTAATCCTACTGCCCAAGTAATCATGATTAAGATTTTAATGTACAATACTTCCTTTCAGTCTTTTATGGTACAATTACCTTATTTCTACAGTTGTAACCTCACCAAAAATATAAATGAAAAAGATAGTAAGACTTACACATCTACATTAGAATGCAGACTTCATGAGCATTAATAGTGGTTATATAACGTTTCATACAGCATTTCTAGTGGTTCAACTAATAATCACTATTTTCACATCAGACATTTAGATTCTTTTTCTTATTTTTGGGTTGAAAAACACTGCAAAAATACTTTCATTGAAATAGCATTTTCCATAACTTAGATTACCTAGTATAGTAGATTCCTAGTACAATTACTGCAAAGGGATGAACATTTTTATGAATATTCACTACTTCCCCTAAGGGCCTTTACTGGTTAATCAGACCATAAGTTTTTCTTGCCAGCACTGGGTGCTGTTTTTTTCTTAATTGAATTGGTATTTAAAACTTTTTTAATTTTGTATACTGTAGTTGTATGTACTTCTATTCTGTAAATTCTTCTATCACTACAAGCTTCAGAAAGGCATTCTGCTTTAGAGATTTGATAAATGCTCAAATCTACCCTCTAGTTTTTTAAAGTTTTACCTTGTCTGCTTTGTTTTTTAAACTTAACTCTCTAACCCATCAGGAATTTATTCTGTTGTATGTAATGTGACAAAGAACCAATGTAAATTTTCTTCAAAGTGCTACCCAATAATCCCAACCTGAATTTCTGAAGAATTCTTCCACGCTGACTTATGATTTCTCCTTCGACATTTCATATGACAGGCAATGGGGATCTGAATTAGAACGACCTGCAACTCGGGGAACCTGGGTGGCTCAGCTGGTTAAGCAGCCAACTCTTGATTTCAGCTCAGGTCATGATCTCAGGGTCATGGGATCGAGCCCTGCGTCAGGCTCCCTGCTCAGCAGGGAGTCTGCTTCAGGACTCTCTCCCTACCTCCCTCTCCCTGTCCTTGTCCCCCCACCGCTTGCTCACAAACACACACACTCTCTCTAAAATAAATAAATCTAAAAAAAAAAAAAAAGAAGAAGAAGAAAGGAAGAAAGACCAGCACTCATGTTCCAATTCTACCACTTACTAGTTAACACTGGAGGAGTAACTCAACCTTTCAGAACGTTAGTCTCCTCATATGAGAAATACAGAGAAGAGCACTTATCTGTTAGGGTTGCTGTGAGGAGCAGATGAGAGATGGCCATTAACATGTACTGACTGCTAAGTAAGTGTATCAATACACACTAAATTCTTACATTAAACAGAGCTTACTTGGGGCACTCTCCTCCTGAACAATACATCAACTTAAATGATTTTCACTCTATACTTTATATATATTAAGTGCCACTCCATCTACTACTTTTTACAGGTTATGTGGTTTTTTTTCTCATTTATTGCTTCACACGAAATTTATATTGACAAACATCACAACAGCGTTGTTTTAACAACTTTATTAAAACCATTAAAGGACTCCTCACAGAAATGGTCACTGACCTCCAAAATATTTCTCCCCTAGTTTCATGAGCTATATATTTGTAGCAAAGGGTAAATCACTAAAAACCAAAGCTCTTATACTAACATAGCAGAAAGAGATGTAATAATAACAAAACATTTTATCTTATTTGAAATAAGAGATACTGATTCAAGAGTTTCTCTCCCATCAGGGTCTTATTTCTCCACTGTGGATCTCTTGTTTTCAAAGATTTCATCTACCAAAATTCATTTCTTAAGTAATAATTTGCTATTTTTAAATTCAAAGACATGAAATGAAATAGAGTCAGGGCAAATAAATTTGACATCGTGAGATAGTCATATGTAGCTTTATGGTGGGTCAATATACAATCAGCATTTACTTACTTATTTGAGGGAGTGTGTGTGTGCGTGCACTAGAGAGAGAGCAGGCACGAGCAGGGGGAGGGGCAGAAGAAGCAGACCCCCCGCTGAGCAGGGAGCCCAACGTGGGGATCCCAGGACCCCGGGATCACAACCGCAGCCAAAGGCAGACGCCCAACCAACTGAGCCACCCAAGCACCCCAAACAGCATTTTTAAAGTATTGAAAATAGTTACCTTTCTAGGCCCCCACAAGACCAAGGACCTTTGACTCAGAGGAATGTATGGAATATAATCATTAACTGAGCTAGTATGAACTTTATACAAGGGGATACAATCTAAATCTAAGTGAAAAGGACACTTGTTTAGTCATTCCATTTTTCTCTAAGAACTTATTTAGACCTACAAATCTAACTTTCTCTTTAGCAATCTCTCCTTTAAGTGAAGAGCACCTATCTGTTAGGGTTGTTCAACGAGGGAAGCTAGGAGAACACCTGGAAAAGCAGAGAAGCTATCATTTTCCAAGTGACTACCATGTACCCCCAGTTCCCAACTATGTTCTGTATTTTACGTTTATCATCTAATTTAATCCCCACCATAGACAACCCTAGGTTCCTCTCATTTTACAGCTATGGACACTGGCTTCAAAGCCTCTGCTCAAACTATAAAATCCCAGAGTTACCGAATTTATAAAACTCAGAGCAGGAAACGGAGGCACACCTCTTACAGCTCGGTTTTTCATGAACTGAACTGGTTTAACTCTATGATTTACACTAAGTTCAAAACCCAATTCCACTACTTATTTACTGTGATACTGGACAGACTATTTCATCTTTCTGTGTCTACTCAACTAACTTTAGAACCATTTTAAGGAACCAAAAAATTCTTGAAGAACACTTAGCACAATGCTTGGCACATAGATATTACCCAATAAATGTTTGCTACCGATATTTATTAAGTTCCCCTTTAAAGCTACCAGATTTAGGGGCGCCTGGGTGGCTCAGTCATTAGGCATCTGCCTTCGGCTCAGGTCATGATCCCAGGGTCCAGGTCAGTGGGGAGCCTGCTTCTCCCTCTCCCACCCCCCCTGCTCATGTTCCCTCTTTCGCTGTGTCTCTGTCAAATAAATAAATGAAATCTAAAAAATAATAATAATAAAGCTACCAGATTTAATCATAGTAAAATAGCATGCTATAAGTGACCTACTGCATCTCTATGATACAGGGGGAATAAGATACATTTGGGGGATATTTACGTAGTATAGCTATCTTAGAGATTACTTACATAGTATAAGACATCTTGGGTATTTAACACTAAAACGAGCAAAAAAATTTTGACCATATTGGTAAGGAACAGTTCTACTGGAAAGAACAACAGAAATCTGGAAATACTTGTTTATCCACTCATCAAAAATCTCTCGTTTGCCTAATAGGTTCTAGATTCTGTACTCAATGCTGGGGAGTCAATGACTCCTGCCCTCCTGACAAACAGTCTAGGGAGAGAGAAGCACAAAGAGATCCACAGCATAGTGGAGGACAGTGTGTCAGGAAGTCTTCTGAGAGGGCATGATGTCTCGGCTGAGACTTGAAAAAAGAGAATTCTCTAGGGAAAGAGAGCAGCTTATATAAAAGCTAGAAGCAAAAAGGACAGCACACCTGAGAAGCTGGAGAATATTTAATATAGCTAACACAGGGAATATACTGAGAAAGAGGGAGCGGTGAGAGACGCTGGATACGCGGGGCCAAATTCTGAGAGACCTTGTAAGCCATGTTAAGAATTGTCGATTTTTATCTTAAATTCAAAGAGGAGGCACTGCAGGTCTCAAGGAAGAAACGAACCTGATCTGAAACCCCATCTGAATGTGCAGGGAACAATATATAGTTCCAGCTTTTCAACAAGCCCTGGGTGAAGTGTGCCCAGGCCAGAACCTCCAATATTCCAGGGCTGTTTTCAAAGGAACTTACAGAAGAAAGAGCGATCTAGTCTTGTGTGTCAAGAACTAGATGTGTGATCCCAGTCAGGAAAGTTAACCTCATTATTTCCAGTGTTCCCAATTTTTAAACAGAGACTAAACCATCTGCTTTATCCACCCATTGGAGATTTGTGGGGATTGAATGCAGTAATGCAAATGGTAACTCTTGGAAAAGTGCACGTTGCTGTACCAACATATGGTGGCACCACTGTCAGGATTATTCAATCCTGAGAATATGGAAAAGCTGGAAGGGGGAACTTCAAACTCTACATGTGCAAGCTTTTGGGAAACAGACACTGCTCCTCATTAATAAAGAGACATAAAAACATGCAATGAGCAATAAACTACCATATCCAAGTAATCGGTGATCTCTCTGAAACCGAGTACATGAGTCATTCTGATTTGCTCCCACAGTCTTTGATGGTTCATTACGGGCAAACTACAGGACTGAGGAGCTATCACTTCATGACCTACGTTTTCAGGTACCCAAAACATATGGCTTAGAAAGAAGAGTGACAACATTCCCAAGAAACTGATCTCTTTCACATGATGTCTGGTGCAGGACTTTTGTTATAGGTCTCTCAAGCCTTTTTCCCAAGAACCAGCTATACCATGCTATGAGCAATTTATCTTCATGTCATATTCTTGGCTACTGCCATTAATCACAGTGTTCCCTTACTGGTGAGATCCTGATTCTGAGCACTGAGAAAATAAAAGACACAGGGTGGGATGCTGTTCAAGACCTAATTACTCTCATCCCATTGGTCTCCACCCCCATTCCTCCTCAACCTTGCCCCCAAATACCAGCAAACTGCTTTAAAGCCACTGCTTAGCTGTCTTTAAAATGGCTTGTTCCAGCAGATGTTCTCAGCCTCACACGTGCATTTTTTCTTTTCTTTTTTTTTTTTACTCACACTTTCTATATGAATAGCAGATTGTAATGCTTCTGTTTTTCTGATCCAGAGGGGAAGAGTCTACATCAAATTAGACCAGCCTTCTTTCAACAAGCTTAGTAACAGCGTAGGTGGATGTTCTGACCCTCTTCTCTCCCCCTGCCTCCCTCTCCCACCCCCACCCC